AAATAAATAAATATTTTCTTCTGACATAAATCTAATACAAGTGCAAGCAGAAAATGACAGTAGTTGATACTCATAAAGATGAGGCTGAATGCCTGTGGGAGGATAGCAAAGGCAGGGGTCAGTCTGGCTTCCCGTGGAAGGGATGTTCCAAAGTTTGGAAGCAGTGACAGGGATGGGCCTCTCCCATGTCCCCACTAGTCCCAGTGGTGGAATTGAAAGAAAGACCTCCTTTGACCATCTGAATACCCAGACAGACTCATAAAGCGAGATGCAGCCTTTGAGATAGTTTAGACCCAAGCTACTCTAGGCTTTATAGATTAAAAGCAGCATTTTTAATTGTGCCTGGAAATGGGTCAGCGCAGTCTGTGGAGCTGCTGTAATTGGGGGGGGGGGGGGTTGCGTGATTCTTATAACCAGCCCCAGTTAACAATCTGGCTGCAGCATGCTGAATCTGTTTTGAACACTTTTCATAGGGATCTCCATATATAGCACATTACAGTAATCCTTAGGATGGAACTAAGGCGTGTGTCCCTGTGGCTAGATCAGATTTCTCCAAGAATGGGCACAGCTCAAACACTAGTTTAAACTGTGTAAAGGTACTCCTGGGCCACGCTGAAACCTGGGCATCCAGGCACAGGGATGAATCCAAGGGCAACTTCCTGCAAAGCTGCACACCTGTGTTTTTTTCCTGAAAAGCTGCACACCTGTGTTTTTAAGGGGAGAGTAACCCCATCCAGCACAGGCGGAATCCCTATTCTCTGATCTGCCTTTTGATTTTTCATTGATTTGCTTTATACTCAAATCAACATCTACATCCAAACATAGTAACATTTTTTAAAATGGAGTGTAGACTAAAAGCCCAGTACCTTTTTCTTGTTCAGGAGATGCTGCAGCTGGTAATGATCTTCTCGATGGTCTTGCCCTGTGGCTTTCTTGGCCAGCCATGTTCAGCAGCTCTTCTTCTGGCTCAATCACAAAAGGGCACTGCGCTAAAAAAAAGAGGAACTGTTGATTCCTCTAGACTGGAAAAAGCACAAGATTTAACCACACACACACACACACACACACACACACACACACACACAGAGAGAGAGAGAGAGAGAGAGAGAGAGAGAGAGAGACTCTCATATACCAGAACAATCTTCAATCTGAAAACCAAGCTTTTCTGGCCTTAAGGCAGACGCATTATTTAGCCAGCATTATGGAGACAAACATCTTCCCTGGTTTTCATAAGATGGCTTTTCAACACCCACTGGAACAATTGCAGTTTTAAAAATAAAGCAAACGCCTTTGAACCACAGCAGAATATCCAGTGCAACTCACTGAACCTCACCAGTGATATAATAATGGCTTTTTGTAGGGAAGAGGCTCATCAGAACCAGTGCAGTCATGGTAAATTTGGAATTGCAGATGCTCATCATCATGACAGTCCTGATAGCCAACCATCCCCCCCCTCCCCATAAAGGAACTCCAGAAATGGAGGCAGGTGGATGGATCCACATCAACAAATAAGAAGATCTTTGGGAAAGTTAATGGCTGGAATCCTACCGCTATTTGTGTAAGGTTCTTAACTTGCTTTGACTAGTTTTGTTTAGTTGATAATGTCCTGGAGTTCAATTCAGTTTTGTCCCTGAGCCCAGGATCCGGCATGCGACAGAGACGAACCCAGCCCCTCATCAGTTAGCTGCAATTAGTTGCAGCAAGTAACACAAAACATATATGATCAGGAATATAACCACCACCACCACCTTAGAATTGCAAAGCTCGAAGGGACTCTGTATATCATCATGTCCAGCTCCATATCAAGGAGGCACAGTCGGGAATCAAACCCCCAACCTCCAGTTCCACAGCCAGATACCTAAACCACCGAGCTATCTACTCGCAATTGGCTCTTAATTATTCTTATATCTTATTCTGGGATTGCCTACAGTATTTCCCTTCCAGTTACTCTTGGGATGGAAGCTAGGCTTAAAGAAAAAAAGGGGAAGTCATAGGTGTGGGTGTGGATGAGGCCACAGTTGCTGCTATGCAGAAAGAGTTCCAGGGTTTGACCCTGTCAGCCTTCTTTCATTTAGACTACTGATCCTAACAGTCCCATAGAAAGCCTAAAAGTCCCCAAAGAAAACTTAAAACCTCGATATTTGGCAGAATGCCTACTCCCACCAAGATCTACCTGGATCACCCGCATGAGCCAGGAGGTGAGGCTGATGAGCCTGATGACGAGAGAGGCCTGGAAGGAAAAGACACAAAACCGGGCCTTCTTGGTGGTGGCTCCTCGCCTCTGCAACAATCTCCCTCCTGAGATCCGCGCGGCCCCCACTTTGGGCACTTTGGCTAAACATTCAGGCCTTCCCTCCAGTTAATATCTAACTTTTCTGTTTATTCTCTCCTTATGTATTTTATTCTATTGTTGTATTGTGTTTCTTACAATATGATTTATGTAATTTTTTGTATTATTTCACTGTTTTTACTATATTGGAAGCCGCCTAGAGTGGTCTTTTAGACCAGATAGGCGGGGTATAAATCAAATCAATCCAATCCAATCCAATCCAATCCAATCCAATCCAATCAAATCAATCAATCAATCAAACAATCAATCAATCAATCAATCAATCAATAAAATTGCCAGTTGCGTTGACTCATATCAATCCAGTCATAGTTGACATCTCCACCAGAAGGAGGAATTTTGTAAATCCAGGCAGTCTCAACTGCCTACTGAAGACCAAGCCACCTTAATGTACCTTGCCTAATGACAACAATGTCAACCTTATGTCACTTCAGACTTATGGTGACCATGAATGCAAGGCCTCCAAAATGTCCCATCCTTCAGCTCTTGTAAACTCAATCCTGCAGCTTCTTTTAGGGAATCAACCCATCTCCTATTTGGTCTTCTTCTTTTCCTGCTGCTTTCAACTTTTCCTAGCATTAATGTCTTTTCCAATAGAAAGGGAAGCTGGGAATGGTTGTCCAGTAACATCTGGGGGCCACACCTTCACCATCCCTGCCTTCAAGACTAGAGGTGGAACTGAACCTACGGCCCAACCTAAAATTGAGTATCAACAGAACAAATGCTGTTGGTACAACACATCTGCCCTCATTTTCAACCGCCTGAAACTTCTCCTAACACCTAGAAGTTTCTGCACCTAGAAGTATGGGATATAAACTGGACTGATGAAGGCAGCAGAATGGTTGAAGCCGCCTCTTCCCTATCCATTTTCACCACTCCATCTGTGACCCCTCTAGGTTGGCCAGCTCTCAGAGCACTGGCTGAGGTTTGATAGAACTTGCTGTGCTTCTTTATGTTTCTAGACAAGGAGACACATTTAAGAGTGAGCATCCCAGGAAGACAAGATGGTTTGATTATGGTTTGAATGGTAATTTTAAAGCCTACAGAGCAAACCCAACCTTTCCCAACTGGCTGAACCTAAAGGTGTTTTTTCGAGCATTGCTTCATTCAGAGTGATGGGCTTAAGTGTATTCTCCTGTTTACATGTCTCTTGAGTCCCTTCCCCTCCCTCTTGGCTTTTTATTGGCTCTTTTGTATTTATTAGAGCAAAGCAGATAGCAATGGCACAAAGCCTGGGAGAAGCGACCCCTCCCAGTTCCTGACCACTCCATCTCTATGACATCCTTGGGATCACTCCTTGCTCAAACAGAAACAAGAAAATATATGGCATTTTAAAGATTTTTTTAAAAAATGATTGCACTATGAGTTTCCATGGTTGGAAGAATATATTTTGGTTAATGTTTATTCACCTAGTAATAAACAGGGATATTTTTATGATATGGTTTTTAAAGAAATGCAAAAGGTAAAGAAAGGTTATGTTATTATGGCAGGATATTTTAATATGGTTATGAATAAAATAAAAGACAAAATCTTTTATGATTGGAATGAGATTCATCATAGAAATACAATATTGAGCAAGAAGGTAAGAAATAATCAATTGAAGGATATTTGGAGAGAAATGAAAGGTGATGAAAGAAGATATACTTATTTTTCAGTTGTACATAATAGTTAGAAAAAAATTATATTTACATTTATATTTATATTTACATTTAGATTTAGATTTATTTTCTAAGGTAGTTAATACTGAAATTAACTCCTTTAAAATGACAGTAGGAAAAAAAGGATGCAATTAAGATCAACTTATTAGCTGATGATTCATTATTGACTATTAAAGATCCAGTAGAAAGTATGGGCAATATTAAAAATCATTTAGAAAAAATTGTGGAATTAACAGGATTAACTATTAATTGGCAAAAACACAAATAATGATGTTTAATCATAATAAACATGAACAAGAAGTTTTTTATAAATATAGTTTTAAAATGTGTAATTTTATTCATTCATTCATTCATTCATTCATTCATTCATTCATTCATTCAATCAACTTATATTCCGCCCACTCTACCCAAAGGTCTCTGGGCAGCTTACAACAATTAAAATACCATTAAAATAAAATACAGCAAATATTAAATAATTAGGTATAAATATAGATAAAATGACTCAAAAATTAAAGGAGAAAAATTTTAATAAACTAAAAAGTGATATTAAAGATAATTTGCAAGAGTATTCTAAACTGAATCTATCATGGTTTGGGAAAATCGCTATGATTAAAATGAAAATATTACCTAAAATTACCTTTTAATTTAGGATACTCCCAATACAATTAGAAGAAGAAGATTTCAAGTATTGGCAGGGATTAGTAAATGGATTTTGTAATCAAGGTAAAAAAATCTAGAATAAATAAAAGATACTGGCATAAGGCTCAAAAAAAGGAGGAGATTTAGGTATTCCTAGAGTAAAAAATTATTATATAGCAAATCAGTTAAGATTTATTGGAGATATTATATACTACAATGAAAAATTAATTTGAAATAAATGGGAATGTAGAAAAATACTTGTTTAATGTTGTAAAAAGAAATATAATAAACCAGATGAATAACCCCTTTTTAAGAAATATGTTAAATATATGGAATAAATATAGAGAGAAGTTATGTCCTTTGACTTCACCATTAAAACTGGTGACTGAAATAGAAATTTTTCCTACAAATTTAAAGGGTTTAGTAGATTTGTTTAAGGACAAAAATGTTACAAGATTGAAGGACTGGATGAGTCAAATGAGATCGAAAGATCAGATTATGGTTAAACTTCAAACTAATAAACTAGCATGGTATAATTATATTCAGCTAGACAGCTGGACAAATGAATGGTTGAAAACTAATGGTAAATGTAGAGAATGTACTAAGTACGACCAATTTCTATCCTCACATGAAGATATGCAGAAAGATGTTTTAATGAAAGCAGTAGTAGGTACAATACTGTATATAATTTAATCTTCGAACTAGAGGAAAAAGAGATAGGAACAGAAGGTTTGGCGAAGTATGGGACATTGCATTAAATGATAAATTAACTACTGAACTCAAGAGGAAAAGAGGGGAAATAAGTTCAAATATTTTTTATGCTATTTGGGGTAGATTTGTTGAATTTATATTAATGAAAGGAAAGGGGGAAAGCCTCTAAACAAGAATTTATACAGTTTTGGAAAGGAAGCTTGTACTAAATGTATTGTTCAAAGGGGTCCCATGGGTATGGAATTAATAGTAGAATTTAGTGTATAGTAAGCACTATTATTTGTATTTTTGGGGTTTTTTGGTTCTAAAAAAATAAAAAAATATATCCTGCTTTGAACTGTAAAAAAATGAGAATTGCATTTTTAAAAGCCCTGCTTTTAACAATACAGTGGTGCCTCGCTTAACGAGTGCTTCAGTTAACGACGAAACCGCATAGCGATGCGGATTTTGCGATCGCAAAAGTGATTGCATTGCGATGTTTTGAATGGGAAAACATTGCATTGCGATGATCGGTAAGCGTTTCGCTTACTGATCTTTGCATTGAAATGTTTTCAGAACAGCTGATCGGCGGTTCCAAAATGGCCACCTGGTGAAGAAAATGACCGCCCGCAGTGTTTTCGTGCTTACCGAGGTG